AAAGCTTTTTATATATACAATAGATTTAGAAAGGATTGGTTTCGACAAATCAAAACTATTTGAGTTGTATAGAGATGATATGATTGTGAAACGATGCCACTTTTTCATGGTAATCGGCAAAAGTAGCTGAGCAGGATGACTTAAGGCCAAGTGATTTCCAAAAATACTGTTTCAGACTAATTGAGGTTAATTCTTACTCTATTTTAACCGATTGATACTAATCAATCTAATTCATTTACAAAATATTGCTTCGGTTAGCGCGACCGATCGAGTGTTGCATGCAAAATTCGGTCGACATAAATGCCCAACAGAGTCGATAATTGGAGCAATTGTGGATTGGTTTCGTCTCTCGTTTACTCTAGTGGTAATGAGCATCCTTATAGATAACGTACAGTGCGCACCAAAGAAGCTGTTGCTGCTGTGTAGCAGAGTATCGAAAAACATCCGTATGAGTTTACCCATGTGTGAAGCTGTGACCATACGCTTTATGGAAGTTTTAGCGTAAAAATTTTGGTTTGCGAACTCACATAAACCAACTTGGGCAAGAATTAAAGCCGAACAACTAACAAGCATGTTGCACGTTCCGTGAACAAGATGAATACCGATCCCAATTTTTACAACACAATTTTATTCAGCGATGAAGCTCACTTTTCACTCTATCACGCACATCATAAACATCCTCGCGCAATCGCAGGACACCGGTGTTTTGTTACCAAACCAACAGTTAGATTGGTGTACTCTATGGGCAGAGGGAAACATTGGTCTATATTTCTTTAAAAACTAAATCGACCATAACGTTACAGTCAACTCAGGAAACTCTATGAAGCGATGTTTAATGACTTTTGTGTAGAATATTGGTTTGGACGACTTTTGATTCCAACAAGACGCAGACGCAGGGAACGAGACGATTTGACGCCTTGAAAGAGAATATTTGGAGCGCTATTGCTGACACATAATCTCAATTGCTATAAAAAGTGGTTAGCACTTAGTCCTCTAGACTGAAATTTCGGGCCAGCCGCGGCGGTGACTTCCCGAAAATTCCTTTATAAAATATTATGGCAAACCCTCCACTTTATAATAAAGCTAAATTTTTGGCCATAACATTAAATTATCTGCGTTTGAGTTCGTTTTTGAAAACCATACTATGTACCTAAAAAAAAACACTCTACGAAAACAAAACATCTTAATTGTAGCCTTGCTCTTGGTATGCTTCAAGAGGAAAATATTTTTGCTACTTTGTAGTGTCGGAGTGAAAATTTTAAAATAATTTTTTGGCCGACTTTTTACTTATACTTTTAAGATGTTCAGTATGGCCTTGATATACTAGTATCATGTTCCCAGATTCATGTGAAAGCTACAGTTTTGTTTACATAAGTGGTAGCAAGTGCTACGTCGACACCAGAAGATCTCTTTTATAAGGCTTGAATCTCTTTAGATCAGCAGTATAGGTTTTCAAACAAGTTTTGCCATATTTTCCTGCCGATATAACAGAAATGTGTGTTAATTGCAAACGATCTTAGGCGACGAACTATACGGACAATTTTTTATACTCGTAGAAACTTTCGGAAGGATTCGGCAGTTCACTTGTATAACACTTTTTATTATTATTCTGAAGCCTTTTAGGTAATGGTTTCCATTACACCTTCGCCAACACATGTTTCTTCATCAATATCTCATTTTCAATAAATTAATTAACAATTTTTATAAAAAAAACGAAAATCGAAAATCTTGATTTTAATGTTTTTTTGCTCACAAAGTACGATATATTTACATATGTATTGTATATGTGCATTCCAATAATTAAGCGTCAGATAGTTAGTTTGGGCATCAACGCAAAAAAGAGTGCGCTTAGAATGTTAATATTACGCCTTGAGGATATTAATTTTACTCCACTCACCCATTTCTCTTAATAAAATCCTCTTCGACTCCTCAGCCTCAAGTGTATTTCTGCGAACTGTTCAGAGTTTTTATTTCAAAACTTCACACTTCAGATGTTCAGCTGTGCGCAATTGGACAAGAATTTAGTGACTAAGCTCAAAGTTAGTATAAATTTACTCTTTTATACTTTCACAGAATGCTCATTGTGGCTAAGCATGCACATCCACGTATGTACATACCTAGATACGCAGTGCTTCCTTTAATACAATTTAAATTTTCCGCCTAACTGAGTGCCAATGGATGTTTTCCATTTTCCATTTTGGTTTAGCACTCAATCGGTGATAAATAAAATTAATCATCAATTTTATACTTGTCTATCCCGTATTCAATTGAATTTCTTTTGATTGGGTTTTCCTTATCACAAATGTGCACAAGGCAAGCGAGTAAAAACACCAGAAATTTGTGTTGGAGGAACCATCATGAAGTGTTTGTGAATTTTGTGGTCTTTCGAGAAGATATGTATGTACTTTGAGGGAAGTGTCTTTTATTGAATTCAAGAATAGATTGTTCCATTTCTGTAAACTCTACTATCCTATCCTAAGTACCAACTTAAATATACATACATACATATGCATGTTGGTCGTTATGAATATGTGTAAAAATTTATTTTATGAATGAAAAATGTAAAACATAAGTTTGTATAGATATATATGTACATAATCATACTCATATTTATGTGAGAAAATATTTTGGTCATAAATCTTTTGTGGAGTTAAAAATAAGTCTGTTTTGGTAAAAAAATACAAAATGCATTGACGTCATTCGTAGAAAATTTCAATTCGTTTACGTATGATAGAGAATAATAGATTTTGAACACATGATCAATTTATTAATAATTTTTTTAAATTACTAATCATTAATATTTTGTTATTTTTTGTCATTTTTTTTTATTGCCTAGTCAAGTTACATACTCGTATAAATGGAGAGTAAAACAAAGAATATCCGCAAGGCTCTAAACATTTATTTTTGGAGCGTGTAAATACTCTGAGCCCTGTCAAAATTAGGTACAAAACTCAGCCTCCATGGCGAAACTTACCCAATGAGCTGATACTGATAAAACCCTTCTTATTGTCCTTCATTCGTTGAACTATGTTAATATCATCGTATAACTTGTACAACTCATCGTTCCATTGTTTATTGGTAATCGCCGTAGCCAATCCGCGAAGCATCATAAAGCGTTCTCAAAACTTTTCTCTCGAAGACTGCTTGGGCCGTCTCATCGGGTGTCCACACTTCTGTAGCATATAGGCGGAATAAATGATGGCAGTGACCTGTAGAGTTTGATTGTGGGACGTCGAGAGAGGCCTCTACCTTTCAATAGCCCAATCAGCTCAAAGTGACATCTGTTGGCAGGTGTGGCTGCGCGTTGGCTTTCTTGGCTGACTTTATTATTGGTGTTAATGCTGGTCACTAAATATACGAAATTATCTACGAGCTCGAAGTTATGACTGTTAATAGTGACGAGGCAGCCGAATAGCGGTTGTATTTCGTCTTGTCTTCGTTTACTACCAGACCCATTCGCTTTGTTTCTTTGCCAAGCTTGGAGAAAGTAAAACTAACGGGGTGATTGTTAAAGTCTATAACATCAATATCATCGGCATACGCCAGAAGTTTTACACTCTTTTAATAGATTGTGCCTTGGTTATTTAGCTCTGCCGTTTCAGCATCAAATTAAAGAAAACGCACGATAAAGAGTCACCCTGTTTGATCGGCTCGGATAGGTTTTACCCAATTCTGACTGCGCTTATGGTGTGGTCCAGCGTAAGTTTATACAGTCGTATAAGTGGGAGTAAACCAGTCTGAAGTCATCAGAGCATTACTTGCGCAACGAAGCATCTATGCCACTGTAGGGAGGATCCCAACAGGCACTTGTTAGAAGCTGAACTACCACCCTCCCAGGCACATCAGAAAGGGAGTACTTGACCTAAAAGACTGCATTGAGACATTGAACACCATTTACCAAGAGTCCGTCGACTCCTCCACAATACTGGTAGACACTTGACCTTGATATACCTCACTTATGTCCTGCTTGCAATGAGTACCCGCACGACATTAGCCAGTTTTTTGCTTGCCCTCTAAAACCTTGTCATCTAACTACCCTTTACCTCTTGTACTAGCCCTTTGTTTTCTTGGACCTTCCGTTTGGTAACTTAAACTAATATAACCTGTTTCTAACAGGGTTAGTGAACCGCTACAACAACAACAACAGCCGTATAAGTTTTGCAAAATACCAAATTCAGACATAGTGGTGTAGGAGCAGCCCCTTCTCAGAGCTTCTGGCGAGTCACTAGTGATATGATGGGTCAGCCGTTTTCTGGATGGAGCACAATTTCCCGCCTGTTGGTCTAGGCTGGGTGCTTCTGGGTGATTGTATAATAGAAGATTACTTGCCAACCCTACAAAACATACAACAGAAATTTTTCTGGCTATCAACCCGGAATAACGTTTGGGTCCGCTCATTGCCCGACTGTGACCGCTATTTTACATAAAAATTACCGGATGACTGACTGTAGAATATAGCTTATTTTCTCTTCGCTGGTGCTCATCTCTGACATGCGTTCCCACAGAGATATCTTCGCAGAGATTAATTACGAAAAATTCTATTAACTAAATTTCTCACCGTGCAAATCTCTACATGCTTCTACTAAACTCAAAATATCCTTGACATTCCAAATGATTGTTCATTGACGTCATTGTCAAGGTTTCGAAAATTTCATTCATACGCACTTTTTTTCGGTTTCTTAGTCCTTTTTTTCTAAAGTAATAAATAAAAGCACTAATATTTATATATTTGTATACAAGTGTATACAGTTCACATAGAAATATGTAATCCTATGCTGCCTTTGTCCCATGTGCTGTTGCGATGCACTGCTGCACATGTGCGATAAGAAAATTTAATCAATCAACGACGGAAATAAAGTTCATTGAAAGGGAAGAAATTAGAACACATCATCAGCTATGAGCAAAGTCCTGGGAAATGGTCCACTTCAAAGGTATGGCAAATGTATATAAGCGGCACAATTTCCTCCATGAGGCCAGTCGAATAACAGCCAAGAGTTCGACAAGAACATTTCCAAGTGAATAAAACCGTTAAAATCTTAAAGTGATAAGTTTCGAAAGCGAGTAAAGTGTGAAAATGGGGATTGGGCGTTGGCAGTTGAAGACAATTGTCATTAATCTCCTAATAATTTGCAGTTTTACTCAAGCAAAATCTTATACGTGTGAGATAGAGCTAGAAAACTGCTCCGAAAGTGTGTATGAAGATTTACCTCAATATTTAAAGGCTGGTATTACCCCTATTGGTTATACACGAAGTGAAGTTGTCAGACGCATTGATGATCGCAAAGATCAACGAGAATTTATTAATGTCATTGATGATCCTCACGACCGTCGGCAAACTAATCGGCATTCACAAGACTCTAAAGAACGACAAGAAGTAGTCAATCGCATTGATGACGAAGAAAATCGAAGGGAAGTCGCAACGCTTGATGTCGGTGGGGAGGGTCGACATGAAGGAAATAATCAACGATATGTTACAAGGCGAAGGGATTGGGGTGAAGATAGTAGAGAATTTCTAAGACGTATTGATGACAGTAAAAACAGACTTGAATCTTTGAGACTAAAAACAGGTAAAGAACCCACAAGGCGCACTCATGGTCAGGAAACCAGACGAGAAATAACAAGGCGCATGAATGGTCGTGAATCCACTCGCGAAAATCTAAGACGCACTAATGATCAAGCAGACGAGCGAGAAATCACAAGACGCATGGATAATCGAGAAGATAATCAAGCAATCACAAGACGCTTTAATGATCATGAAGATAGACGAGATATCACAAGGCGTGTTGATGATCCTGAAGTCTCACGAGGAACTCTGATGCAGAATTATGTTCGAGAAGACGAGCGAGAAATTACAGGACGCGTGGATAATCGTGAAGATAAACAAGAAACCACAAGACGCATTAATGATCGTGAAGATAAACAAGAAATCACAAGGCGGGACACACGAGAAACTCTAAGACACACTAATGATCGAGAAGACGAGCGAGAAATCACAAGGCGCATGCATAATCGTGAAGATAAACAAGAAATCACAAGACGCATTAATGATCGTGAAGATAAACAAGAAATCACAAGGCGGGACACACGAGAAACTCTAAGACACACTAATGATCGAGAAGACGAGCGAGAAATCATAAGGCGCATGCATAATCGTGAAGATAAACAAGAAATCACAAGACGCATTAATGATCGTGAAGATAGACGAGATATCACAAGGCGTAACCGTGGCGATCGACGGGAATCCACAAGACGCCAAGGTTATAATAGATATGAAGGATCTGAAGTTATTCCCGACAGTGGCGAACAAATCGATAACTCAAAGAAATATAAATATTGGCAAAAAGGAACAGCATTTAAAACTTTTAAATCTAATGTGGAAAGAAAATTTGAGATCTATACAAATCGTGGATTTATTTTATTTGGACAAGGCCTTATTCTTGCTGCAGTATTTATGAAAGGAATTAAAGAGAACGAAGATGCATTAAAGTAAGAAAATAATTAACTAAATTTATTTTGAACTTCTTTGGCGCTCTAGAGTTGCGATTTCTTAAATGTGCTTCTCTTTTCAGGAAAGTTTTATGGCAACGCCCTGGCTCGCAGAAACTGATTGGTTTTTAAAAATATCCGCTACGAATATGATACAACGGCAAATTGGATTACGAATTGTATATATTTACATACATATGTAATAAAAATGTGTACCTTAAGCAAATTATGTGCAAAATAGCAACTGTGTTATGTAAACAATTAAAATTAAGAATCAAAATATAGAATTCAATGAAAATATCTACATATATAGAACTCAATTGAATCATGTAAATACATACATATATTTAAAATATATTATCGATTAAATACACATTAATATTTATGTAAAAGTTACTGCAAATATGTGAAATAAATACGCAAATTAAAATATTAATCAGCTGATGTTTTATCATTTAAAAGTTATTTTATATGAATGTGTGTATGTATGTATTTATGCAATTTTTCGAAAAAGATTTTGACACATTATTTTTTGATGTACAAATTTTCGAGTTGCATCATAGCCACTCTACACAATTTTTGCTTTCGGCGATCTGCTGGGCAGTAATAGTTGTTACTTAACCCATTCCACCTTACACAGATATGATCAGAATGGCGAGTTGGTAAGCAGATACATTTTAATACTGCAATAGTAATTTGTCAGAAGCGGCTAGGTTGAAATATTATAACTTCTAGTCCTCATACCACCGAATTTTCACATATGAGAATTAATATTTAACCCCAAAAGGAAATACATTTAACTTTATATCATCACGAATGGAATCAACTTGACCGAAGACAGCTCCCCTTTCTTATTTTATAAACTATTTCCATATTTAACAGCGCCACAGATGATTTGAACTGAAACTTCTTTCTTTTTTTTAACTGCCGTAAGCGCCGCTTTTTCGATTAAAACCCCCTTTCCTTCTCTTTTTGTCGCCTCTTTAGAAATTCTTAGTATAGCCAGATCTTTCTCCACCATCAACCGAGTGGATGTCTTCTCTTCTTATTTCAACGCTTGAGTACTCTCTTCGATCCGGACATGACTTAGAAGCTGTCTCTTGATTCACCGAAAATTGACAATGTAGCCGTTTATCTCGTACAGCAAATCATTTCATTAGTTGCTGTATTTGTCGTCACAGATGCTTAAAGGATCACAAATCTTCCGCAAAACTTTTATCTCGAAGCATGGTTGTTCATGTTAATACAACTTCTAAGATAGACGAAATTAGCTACAACTTCAATGAATGTTGAAAGTGGTGGCGTGAGAGTCGAGCCGCGTATACGGTAGGTAGGTTTTAAATTTCCTTTTTCACTACCAGACGCATACGTTTCGCTTCTTTATGAAATATGGAGAAAGCAGAACTCATAATTCAGACATAGAGGCGTAGAGGCCGTACCATGCTGTGGAAAGCTATTGACTTTTTCACAATTATTTTTAGAACCTCTCACAACTTTGGGATTTTTCTTATTTTTTTGTGACCTAAGGTTTGTTTTTTATGCTACTTGTGTTTTCTTTTTACATTATTTTATACTTTCACATTACGTTAAAATAAATGATTTTAAATGAAAATGTATAATATTCGTTCGAAAATTTCTGATATTATGTCATACGACTAGATAAATTGTGTGTAACTGTTAACAAGGTACTTGCTTCCACTTCCTGTTTCCAGTTACATAACTTTAGCGTTGCATTTAAACCGGACAATATCAACAGGGAAAAAAGAGAAATAATTATATATATATAAATTATTTAAGGTAACTACGTCCAATTTTTTTATTAAAAAAAAAAAAACAAATATAAACAATCAAATATAACAATTACTTTCAGGATTTCTTTTCATTGCATTACAAAGGATTTAAGAAACTTGCAAAGCAACGGAAAATCTGTTGGCCTGCAAATATAATTATTTACTGAGTGCTTTTTCATGCAACCCTGTTGTACTTTCGCTTAATCTGGCAGCATTGCATTTTATGGCTTCTCGCTTTGGTTGTCATTCTGCAGCAGAGAACGTATATTATACGTTCTCTGTCTGCAGCAGCTGTCAAGCAATTCGATGATTTTAGATTTTCTTCAGTCATTCGTGACATTTTCTGATTTTTGGTGTGTGTGGAAATATTGTGTATTAATTTAATTAATTTTTTTTTTCATTTAGAATATAGATTTTGTTTAATTTCTATTTCCAAATCTCTGTAAAATGTTTAGGATCGAAAATTATCTGGTTTAGGTGTGCAATTCAATTAACAAAGCAAAACTTAAAACCAAACAAAAGATGAAAAGTGTAGTGATTGTGTTGCCTGACAAATATTTGAACGCCAAAATTATGTACTAAATAAGCTGAAAATAATAAGTAAATGTTCTATAAATACATTTTCCATATTATTTTAACCGAAAGTGATAAGAGGTGTAATTCGTGATACACAACTGATAACCAATACCCCCTAGTGCAGCATTCGGATACAGTAGCGAGCAAAGCAATTAGTTGACCCATAGATGAAGTTGTTGCTATTTCTTTGAATACCTTAACACATATTTAGTGGTCTGAAGTAATAGCAACGCAAGTGAAAGTGTATACGCGTTTGGAAATACAAAAAAAGCAAACGGTATTGAGCAATAACACAAAGACAATTGGTACTGCATAAAACTTAAAACTGCGAGGCTAAAAACAGTTGTTTCGGATTTTGCTATACTTTTGCTGGTATTGTCAGCACATCTTAGCGGAAACGATAGTTTCCAACATTTGTGTATTTTTCTAAGCCTATTTTTCCAACTTTTATCGTTACTGCTATTGGGAAGCCAATCATTGTGTGTAGCCTTGTTAGCAATTTCACTCAATTTGCTTCATTATATTACGCGAAAAGTGAACGTAAACGTGAACGATCTTCGTCGCACCATCGACAACAGTTGGTCTACACGCTGCCGGTACCATACACATACCGCTGGGACCTAGCAAATAGAAACTTGTCATTGTTGGGCTTTTGTTGTGTTAAATTTTTTGGTTTTTGTTGAGTGTTTTTGACATTATAATTAAACATTTGGAATACGCGAAAATACTTGTTTGTGAGGCGAAGAGAAGTTAAAGATTTTATTGATACGAAGATAACGTCGTTTGAACAACGAAATGGGGCTTTTAATATCAAAAATATGGAGTATGTTCGGTAATGAAGGTAAGCAAGCATTTATTCTCAAAATTATATTGGAAATTCTTATTCGTTAGTCATAAAACATAATTTAGTATTCACCAAAAAAAGTGTATTGATTTTCGCTTGCATATATAAACTTAATTTGCTGAATACATTTAATAAATTCTGTGTCTTTTAAATACGAAAACAGTCTGATTGAATATATTAAAGCCACGACCTTGAGAATTAAGTAGAGCTATTAAGTTACTTACTGAATATTAAGCAGCACAAATTTTGATTTTTTGAAGTAGTGGCTTAAAATAAATAAAATAAAAAATAAAGTAAATAAAAGTAACAGTTAAAATATGAAATGAATCCAACCGATGTAACATACATATATTTTGTATGTATGTACATCTCGCAAACGATTCTTAATAAATTTCACTTCTTAGCATACATATATATAATACATATAATTGGCGCTTTGCGACCGCTAAAGCAATTTTCGGCCAAGCTTCTCCGACTAAGCCTATAATTTTACTTTAGATTTAGATTTTCATAATTTAGGCGTGGTTAAATATATAAAAACAAAAATTTCAATACAAATTTGTAACGGGTTTTTTTAAAGTACTATAAACAATTTCATGATTATTGCTAACTGTGTATATTTTATATATACATATATTTACGGGTATATGAATTTCTCTGTTTTCTTTTAAAGATAAAAAGGAAAGTTTTAAACATAAATAAATGAAAATGGGTGCAAAAAATATTATTACGAACTGCGTTTCTATATATATATGTATATATATATATCTGTATTCTCATATATATAAATATGTATGTTCATAATTAAAAACTAACAAAGAATGCAGATACGTAGATATTATCATTTATGAATTTACGCTTGTGTTGTTGTTAATTGGTAGCAATTTATGTATAATAAATTACCATGTCAGCTCTACAAAGTGTATACAACAATTGTTTAAACTGTTATTCACATGTTCTTGATACTGTAGCACAGTTTACATACATTTTTGCCACACATAACACCAACAGCCGGGGATAGAATGTATTTTTGTTTGTTTTACAAAGGGACTCAGGTGCTTTTCTGCTCCAGTTTTCTTTATAGATAAATACAACAAACAATCACTGCTCTCCTATAGCTGTGATAAGCAAAAAAGAAAAAAAAGTACTTTAAAATATCAGCGGGGTATGAGCAATGAAAATTCTTGCGTTGCGAGTTGGCCAACCACAAAATAAAGCATGTAAAAATAGGAAGTACGGTGTAATTCCAAGAGTTTACGGTTTTCTTTTGTTTTTAATGAAAAAATGATATTTGTGCCCGCAGTACTTATGTTAAAAGCATATATGATATGAAATATAAAACGAAAAAAGGTGATAGTTCCACTCAGGTATTTTCTAAGGTTTATTAGCTAGTGATATATTAAATATTAACGGATTTTTTGAATTTATTTAATTTTTATGCTATTGATAGATACAGAAAAATCGAATATTACAAATTAAAAATTATTAATACATGTAAATATTTATGTTCATACACGTACATAGAAAATGAAAGAACTGTTATTGTAAACAAAACAATAAAAAAGTGTGTCTTTAATGAAATTATAAAATTTATTGCAAAATTCAACGATTCGATTTAGTTGACTTTCAGTACCTATGTTTAGGTTGAAATATCTCAAAAACCGAGGGACGAGCTCGTGTACAAATTGACGGAAATGGCTAAATAAACTCAGCTGGTGATTCTCCTTCTCTACACAAATTTTAATCAGCAGCACTTTGTGCTTTATTTACATTGACAGCTTCACATGTGCGACTTATACTCGTACTTGACGCGAGTTTTGAACATTTGACCTTATGTAAGGCATACCAGAACGGTCTTGACTTCATTCCATAGGTTCTCAATCGGATTTAAGTCAAAATTGTGGGCTGGTGAATCTAAAACATCGAAAGTTTCTACACTCAACTAAATAATTTCTAATTTCCGCCATAGATTTCCATTTTATTGGCATGCTATGGAATAAAATGTCTATTTTGACTAGAATTCGTAAAAGCAGAGCGACGCCAAGTCACGAAAATGTAGCCCTCAACGCAATATTTCCGCGCCCCTTTGTTTGTTCAGTATCTAAGTGAATCTGGAATTATATTCCAGACGTTTGGGATGATGATTCTGTCCTCTGGCCCTACCCTATCGATTTTCTTTTCGTTACTATACGTTTTTCAAACCATTTTTCCTTGATAGGAAAGACAATCGCTTCAAAATGCTCCTTTTAGACAGAAGTGGGTTTTTCCTGGAAAAGCTTCATTAGACTACTTTCAAGGAAGCCGGCTTGATGTTTTTTTTTGTCCAGTGATTTGCTTAGATTAGATGCTATCGTTCGAGATAACTAGAATGAATAAATTTTTATCGTTCTTATAATAGTGGCATCGAGGCCATGGCTTTCGAATATTTGCCTTTGGTCATTTTTTTAGGGTTCTCCACACATGATTTTATTGATTGCGTTTTAAACATTCTTCCAAGCATTTTCCATATGGTTCACCTTTCTTGAACTGTTGTTGTTTTCCGGATGCAATTTTTATTCATTTTGGTTTCTCATACCATATTTCAAAAAACAATCTATCGAAATAAGCAAATATCAGGCATTTCTATTGAAATTTACTAGGATAATGCATATCCAAAGGAATTTGTGTCATTTAGGTGTTCTTTTAAAATTAGCATAGGCTTCACAAACAAAATATTTGGGCCTCACTGACGTTAAGGATAGTGCAGGAGCAAGTTTGGTGCAACATTTTTTTTTTTGATTATGAATAACTTTCAGTTATCTTTCGGGTTTCTCCGCATATTCAAAATATTTTTGCTTCCACTTTATTTACCTGAAAATGGTTACTCTTCACTAAACTCTGAAAACCCTTCATCTAATGTATTTATAATTTCGACAGATTTAAAATATCGTGAATGTTTTGAAATATATGTATAATAGTTTATTGAATAAGAGGTGCTAGAGCAGATTACATATTGCATATTTCTCGGTAAAAATAAATTGCAAGTGAATAGTAGATTTTGAAAAATGAATTTCATGTGTATTTTATTAAAAGTCGTAAATAAAATAAATTCTTACAATTAAATAGTAATTTGCTGTCGATTATTAATCCTCTCGTTTTATTTTATTTTAATGCATTTAATTTTAATTTATGTCATTCTGTTTTATATTTTTGTATATGCTAAGAACAAACAGAACAGACATGAAAAGCAAATAAGACCCATCTGAAAACGGCGAGCTACTGCACCAAATATGCACTATTTGTACCATGATTAGCATATTACTGCCAATTGACCTAGTGGTTGCTTTCTAGTCCATTTCATATCGACTTAAAGAAGTAATGAATAAATATGAAAAAAAAAAAATTTTTTTATTAGTATTTTTATTTTTTTTGTTTTCAATATATCTGTTATATTTTTTTATATATTTTTATATATTTTTATAAATTTTTTATATATATTTATAAATTTTTTATATATTTTTATATATATTTATATACTTTTTATATATTTTTATATATTTTTTATATATTTTTTTATAAATTTTTTATATATTTTTTAAATATTTTTTTATATTTGCTAAATATTTTTATATATTTTTTGTATATATTTTTTATATATTTTAATTTATTTTTTTTATACATTTTTCATATATATTTTTTTATATATTTTTTATTTATTTTTTTATATATTTTTTCTATATATTTTTTATATATATTTTATATTTTTTTTATATTTTTTATATATTTTTTATATATATTTTATATATTTTTTATATATATTTTAAATATTTTTATATATTTTTTAATTATTTTTAAAATATTTGTTAAATATTTTTATATTTCTTTATATATTTTTTTATATATTTTTTTTATATTTTCTATATATTTTTAATTATTTTTTTATATTTGTTAAATATTTTTATATCATTTTTTATATATATTTAATTATTTTTTTTATATGTTAAATATTTTTATATCATTTTTTATATATTTTTTATATATTTTTGTATATATTTTTTAAATATTTTTATATATTATTTAATTATTTTTAAAATATTTTTATATTTCTTTATATATATTTTTATATTTTTTATATATTTTTAATTATTTTTTTATATTTGTTAAATATTTTTATATCATTTTTTATATATTTTTTATATATATATTATATATATATTTTATATATTTTTTATATATTTTTATATATTTTTTAATTATTTTTAAAATATTTGTTAAATATTTTTATATCATTTTTTATATATTTTTTATAAATGTTTATAAATTTTTTTTATATTTTTTATATGTTTTTAATTATTTTTTTATATTTGTTAAATCATCATTTTTAAAATATTTTTTCTATATATATTTTATATATTTTTTATATATTTGTTAAAAATTTTTATATTTCTTTATATATTTTTAATAGATTTTTATATATTTTTTTATATATTTGTTATATATTTTTTCTTTTTTCCCACTATACCATCAGACTTTCTTCTCCTCTCTAATTTGCGCTTATATGCTTGTTTGAGCAATTAACAAATTATTTGTATTGTATTCTTAGTGAGCTCTCAACGCGTCACATTCGTTGCCTTTTCTATAACGTCTTATTGCTATGGTGGCATAGTTGTAAAAATTGTTTTTGCTATATACTCGTAGGCTGAAGTTTCTGTTTCTGTTTCTGTTTGTGTTATTATGAATGGAGAAAGTTGTTTAACTTGGAATGTTTGAAATTGAAACCCAACAAATCAGTCAATCACACAGACTGTTACTGTTTAAACAAAAAATAAATTCGCACTTTTAACATGAGAAGGAAGGAAACACATCCGTTAATATTGTGCCAAGATACCTCGTAATATCAGTATGGCACGGATCCACACAAAATTTTACTTTGACTGTAAAGCATTTGATTTGAATGATTTAGGTTGCCATTCGACGGAAAAAATACGTTAAGAAAAATTATACGAGTATTGTATTAC